AATGGTGGCCAGTGTTTTAAAACTGCGTTGTCCTAGTGTCCTTGACTTGCAAGCCGTGGCGCTCTAACTATTGCAGAATGGTCCCTACGTTTTGACTATTCCTTGACTCTCACGACAAGTCTGTTTGACGATTCTGTACCTGACAGAATGTGCGTGTTCTTCAGTGCCAGCTGAAATGTTAAGGTCATCTTCATGCCTGTTCTCATATTTTCCATTATTTATGACGAAGTTTTAGGTGACTTTTTTGGTAAACATGATTATAAAGGAATATGGCCTGAGAATAAAAATAAACAAGACAGTGGCAATGAGAATATTAAGAAGCAAGACACAGACGTCTGAATAAGACTTAAGATCACACTGGTTAAAGAAGTGGGGGAAATTATTAATTTATTTGGGAAGTAAAACTTACGAGACAAAAATCTGTGGAGAGATCAGTAGAAAAATACAAAATAGTTTCTAAATTCTAAGATATTGTAAAAGGAATGGAACTAAGATGTCACAAAGGATTACAGAAATTTACGTATGTAGTATAATTTAAATAAATGTTGATATTTTAAAGCTGAAAAACAAAGACGAAATCCAAGTAACTAATATTATTTTTTTAGATTATTGTTGGGAACCAAGAAGGGATAGATTTAGAAATGAAACATTTACAGAATTTGAAATAAAAATCTCTTAATAGAATTAGAAGACAGACGATTACATTGATACGGAAATTTAAAAATTTGATAGGGCGTGGAATTCAAATTTAAATGAAAGAAACACATAGGACGACCCAGAACATGATGGTCGCCCAGGTGCAAAATATATCAAAAAGATAGGGAGAGACTGGAAAGGAAACGATGGAAAGAATTTGGGAATATGGAAGACTTCATTTATCCACCTGTGTAAAACAGAAACTGTTCTTGATTTCATTTGCTTTCGTAGTTGCGACTTGGATCGTTCGGCTGCTGACATAAGCAGTTTTTACCGCCATTACGTAAGCTGTATTCATTTATCACAGAGAGTTTGTGTAAACTTCATAAATATTTATGATATTGAAGGCTACTGTAATGAAGTCAGGTCTCTATAAATGGCAGTGCAGTTGCAAATTTTCTGTTTAATACCACATCTAACAGTTACTTTCTGTCTCACACCCTGTCCAGTATGTGTAGTTAAAACGTCGGCCACCATCTTATGTCGAGATTTCTGTCTTCTGGGTTGTTGCGCTGTGTAGTCTGGTAGAAGTTTACCGACGTTTCAGAGGTCATTTGCCTCCGTCATCAGAGTATGAAGATTACTGTCTTCTGGGTTGTTGCGCTGTGTAGTCTGGTCGATGTTTACC